CCTGTTCCAAAGTAATACTATCGAGCATGTTTTTTGTCTACTTAGTGGGTCAAAGCAACCATCAGATATCTTCAAAATGAACCCCCTAACTCATGACTTATCTACCCTCTGATATTCTCTATCTTTCTACCAAATCTTAGGTATCCTAACAGCAAAGGCCAAAGTTTCTATCTGTACATCTTAGTACAGAGAGAAGAAAGTGTACAGGTTCCACAAGCTACTTACAAGAGTTCTTTACCAAACACCTGTAGTCTGACAGGAGAGTGAAGAAGGAGACAAATGGAGAGAACCTATTTGGACTCCAAACCCAAGTAATTTTTCAGGTTCCCCAGATCATTGGTAGGTCGGTGGGATTCCCAATAATGCAGGAATGAAAAGACACAAGGAGGTCAGAAAATACATGATTTTCACACCTTTCTGCTAGTCCTGTCTCTGTATCTAGTTCTTGGCCTTTCTTAAGTTAACATCTGGCTACCTTCAGTCTCATCCAAAAGAATCCTCAGTGTGACATGGCTGAATACCCTACTTTCCCCATCCCATCCTATGCTCCACATTGGCTTGGGAACCCTCTAAGAAATGTCCCATGTCTCTTGGTTAAGACATGATATGTGCTATCTCTGTGTTGCTATTGCCTGGTCTGGTTCCCAATGTGAGTAAAGGTTTCCCTGGGGAAAATTCAGACATGGAGGTACATGCCTAGAACCCCAGTACTGGGTTTGGTGAAGACAGGTGGATTCCATGGGCTCACCGGCTGGCCAATCTATCAAAATCATGAGTTTCAGATTCAGTGAGGGGACCTTGCCTCAAAAAACAAGGTGAATCTTGATTATTTAATTTTTGTGACAGGTAGATACTATCCAAGATTTAGCTAATATGTATAATGTGCCTGCCTACTAGCCACCCTTCTTTAATATACTTGGCAAATGTTATTTCTCTGCAATAAATAAAGACTATGTTAATTGCAACTGGAAAAAAGGTGAGGTTCACCACAAGTCAAGCTTGAACTAAACTAGATTCCTCCCTGATGGATCTGCTCTTATGGTACCAGATGGCACCATGCAGGATGCTATAAAACAAAGGCATTAGTGATCTAGCCCATTTGTGAACTCTATAAACTATAATACTAGGCAAAAATATGCCCACTTATGTAATGATGACACAATTGTTATGGGGGTAACCGGCTACTTCCTACTTGAGACTTTCTCTATGAAGAAATCCATAAGAAATCCATGCTTAATAATGTAAACCTGGTCCAAAAAACTATGACAGAAGAGGTCTTATATCCTTCAGTGGAGGTGATGGTGGCTAAGGTGGCTGCTTAGCTGAGTTGACATAGCAACAAACCGCCCCCTAAATATCTAAATATCTATGCTTACACCCACAAATAAAGGCTATTCTCAGCTTTACACAGGGGAGATTCTTCTTACAGTGAATGACTGCACAAAATGTTGACAGTAACACATAGTTGAGCACTAAGACTCCATTAAGGTTTATACCATCCCCTTAAGGTTCAGTGAATACTACAGAAAATGGGGTGGAAAGTCTATAAGAGCTTGAGAATGGGGAAAGGGGGTGTGAAATAACGTCTTCTAAGCAGGACTCTGAAATGGCTATCAAGAATTCATATCAGCTGTGCCTAGTGGTACCAGGTCCATAAAAGTCAGGCTCTGTTAACAGTCAGCTGTAGAGGAGGAAGGAACATGGTGGGCCCTATTACATATAGCTGATCAGCAGGCAAGTGACAGAGTCTGGGAGAGGGTGAAATATGGTATCAAGTTATACATCCATGGGGGCCCAGCAGGTTATCGTTAGTTACAAACTCAGGATCACACAGAAGGTCCTGATAAAATGCTGGGACACCAAACAAAATCAAAACTGAGAAATAAAGAGAAGAGATTTATGGGAAAGAGAAAGGTAGCACTGGCAAGGAAATGGGAGAGGATGAGAGAAGGACCAAAATGCATATATGTATATGAAATTGTGAAAAAAATTAGTGGGAAAAAATGGCAGATTGTTCTACAAGATACTTCAGTAGGTAAAGGCACTTGCCACATAACTCAAATTTGATGCCTGGAACCCATGTAAAGGTGGAGAGAACCAACTCCACAAACTTGACCTGTAATCTACACACACACACACACACACACACACACACACACACACACACACACACACACTATGGCATGCATGTGCATGCTCACATGCATGCACACACATCAGTAATAAGTAAAGTTTAAAAACCTCACAAGAAAAAGGTCGTTAGAGGAAGGTACCCTGCCTTGACCTCTGTCTCCCCCACCCACCCACGCACACTAATGCATGTTTCTAGGGGCTGGAAGATGGATCAGTGGGTCAAGTGCTTGCTAGAGGAGCATGAAGAGCTAAATTCAGATCCTCAGCAGCCATATACAAGTTGGCCATGGAGCTGCTGTGCACATGTATAACCCCAGCACAAGGGAAAAGGGTGGAGACAAGTGGGTCCCTTGGGATTGCTGGCCAGACAGACTAGGCAAATTGGTGAGCTTCAGGTTCAAACAAGCAAACAAACAAACAAACGAATGAATAAATAAATAAATAAATAAATAAATAAATAAATAAATAAATAAATAAATAAATAAATAAAAATAAGGTGAAGAGCAATTAAGGAAGATACCAGATACCAGATACCTGTCTCTGGCCTTCACATGCACAAACACTTGCATCCACACATATGCACATAATACACACACACACAAATTCATGTGTTTAACTAAACAGCTTTGGTTGGGTGATGTTAATAAATATTACAAAAAGTCCATATCCCTTCTCTGGTCTTTCTCAACAAGAAATTCCACAGTTTGATCAAAAACCTACTCAAAGATTTCATGTCAGTTCGGCAACTCAAACAGAGCTGAGCATGATAGTCATTAGTTTGTTCTGCTATTTTATAAATAACAAGTTCATGCACTTATCTGCCAGTTATTTCCCACTCAGGTAGCTGTGTCCCGATCCAGGTCCCTGAGCTTTATTCTGTGGCCATGGAATGGAATTTGTTCCATTCTCACTCCTTCCTTCTCTTATGTAATTGTGTTAAAAAAAAAAACACTACATGTTGTCATTTTATTTTAACTCAAAGCAGATTCTAAGGTGAGCATGGTGGTACATTCCTCCTATCCCAGCACTTGATAGGATGAGGCATGAGGACAGTAAGTTTGAGGCCAGTCTGAACAATACAGTGAAAATCTATCTAAAAAAGGGAAGGGGGTAGGTGGAGGGAGGAAGGAGGGAGGGCAGGAAGGAGGTAAACCAGCTAGCTCCTCTCTTCCTCTAGAAAAATCTTTTTAACCAAACTAGTTTTGTTTTGTTTTTGTTTTTGTTTTTCAGAGCTGAGGACCGAACCCAGGGCCTTGTGCTTGCTAGGCAAGCGCTCTACCACTGAGCTAAATTCCCAACCTCAAGAAGTTGTTTTTTTGGTTTTTTTTGTTTTGTTTTGTTTTGTTTTGTTTTGTTTTTTTGGTTTTTCAAGACAGGGTTTCTCTGTGTAGCTTTGTGCCTTTCCTGGATCTGCCTCTGTAGACCAGGCTAGCCTCGAACTCACAGAGATCTACCTGCCTCTGCCTCCCGAGTGCTGGGATTAAAGGCATGTGCCACCACCACTCCCAAACTAGTTTGAAAATGTCTTTACATGGTCTAGATAAGTTTAACATAAATAACATCATGACAACCCACTGGACTGTCCCACTAATATTGTTAGTGCTATCTATAAAGTCAATATTCAACCCGAGTGCAAGGAGGGTATGTGCAATCAATCTGTATGGTGTGGTGAGATGTGGGACTTGAAGCTGTGTGACAAGTAGGTAACTGATAGCATCAGTCTCCCTAGGACTCATTTCAAGAATGAAGGTGATAATTGGGCATTATGAAGCTTATAAGAAACGTTAGAGCCTAGCATAGTGGCCCAAAAATGCCTCTGATCCCAGTACTAGAGAGGCTGAGGTAGGAGGATTGACATGAGTGCCATGAGTTTGAGGCTGGCCTAGGTTACAGAGAGCTCCAGCCTAACTTCAGCTATAAATTAAGACCCTTTCATGAAAAAAAAAAAAAGTGGATATAACGCTCTTCACACAGTGGCAAGTGGTGAATATTTCTGCCATCCATAAATATTGATTAAATTGATGGAGAGACAAATGAATGATGGACAATCAATAAGAGAAAAAGCCTATTGCATGTTCCCATGGAGATTTTCCTCCAGACTTCTGTTTAATGGATGAAAGAGGTTGTGCATGGTGGAGTTCAGTAATTCTGGTAAAGGACAGATTTGCTCCTAGTGTCTCCTAGGAGAAAGAGCCATGATTTGGTGAACCCATACTCTGTCTGTTGGCAGAATTTCTATTCCAGTTAATAGGAACCAGATCTGCAGGCAGTAGGTTGGCTGATTTCTTACCATGGAATCATTACTGAACATTGAAATGAAAATAAGTGTTTCATGTGCCTTGTTGGAGCAGCCTACATAATTTTGGACCTACTCTTTTTCCATCTACAGGCACAGTTTCAGATCTATTCTTTTTCCATCTGCACCCACACTTAGTCTTTTTCCATCAGACCCAGACCTTCTTGGTGTGCCTTGCACATATTCTGGTGACCTCTTTTTGTGAGGCCTGAATGCATGTAGTGCTGCCTCCTCTCACTTCCAAATCTATACAGGTACTTGTTTGTCAGATCCTCTTGCCAAAGCAATAGTTCATTATTCTTTATGGCATATGGTGGGGAAATACACATGCCATGACCTGCCCTCACCTAACTTCATCCTTCTCTAACTAGAAGAATGATCAGAAAGGGACCAATAAATAGGCAAACAGCCCACTAGTTCTCCAAGCAGTTATGGAATAAGATAAACCCAAAGGTGTGGCTTTCCCCGAAAACAATACACAAAAAATGCTGTCATAACTGAACACTCCTGGTAGAGATTCCTCCTTTTGATAATGGTCATTTTCAGACAAAGAGACTGGTTTTCCACTCACCTTTTTTCCTCTTTGAACTAATGTTCTGTTTTGGGGACATATTTCAGTTCGCTTTTAACATTCTGGATCTCCAGTAGGTTGACAGCAGGTCCTGGAAGTTTCTTTGCTCCAGGAATTTGCTTCTTCTCTTCCTCTGAAGCAGGAGGAGCCCCCTGAAAAGAAAGGAGATGAAATTTAACTCACCAAAAACAAGGATATTTCATCTCTCTGGTTCATGGCATAGAGCAGGAAAACAAATGTCAAAGAAAGAAAATCAGAGTGTGATTCTAGCATGGTGCCTTTATCCTCTATTTATATAGCCTTAGAGTTTCAACAAAATTCCCTGAAATTTGTACAGGAATGTAAAATAATGTTGTAAGGGAAAAAGTCCTGTCCATGTGACTTAGGACACATTAGGCAACAGTTCAATGTCTGGTAACTAATAAATACTACCAACAGTTAGAAGGAGCTGTGTTTCTCACAAAAGCATATTCTAAAAGTGACTGACTTTGATTTAGTATCATACCATCATCAGCTAACTGATGGCAGAAAACTGTAAAACATCGCTGCACAGCTAGCCCCAATTAGTCCAGGAGTTTGCAAAAATCTGTTCAGAGCACAGTAGTTGTCAGCCTTTTGTCCTATATGGTTCCTTTGGGAAACATAAACAAACTCAGAAGGACATAGGGAAACATCTTTGAATGTGTGAGGAAATGACAGAGGCCAACCTTTGTCCACTGCTTTGAGTAGTTTAAATTGCCTATCATGAACAGAATCTCAGCTTTAGGGAGGGACACACAGCCTTTTCTTTTTGTGTGTGGCTCCTCTAGGCCTGATTGACAGGAGCTTGAATGTATACTTGATGATTTTTGTTTAACTAGTTAATCCCATAATCAACCCACACTTCCATGTGCATGCACCCAGCACAAACAGAAAAGGACTATAAAACATTAAGATCAGTTGCTGTGTGTAGCTCCATCTAGTTACTAGAGAAGAACATTGCATGCTAGTCTGTTCTTCCTATTTGCCTGAAAGGAAGATATTGGAGGACATCTGATCACCCTAACAGCCAGGATATCATTCCTTGGATCAGATTACTTCAGGGGAAACTGAGTGACTGCCCTAACTCCTTGTCACTAAAATCCATCCATCAACCATGCAGAGGTCACATTTACTATACCTACTGGTAACAAATGACTGAGTACAGAAGCATTCATAAGGTGATCCCATACCTGGTAGACAGGGACTCCTCCCAGGAGAAATTTAGGTAGGAGAGTTGGCCTTAGAGTCACATTGAGGTCTGGGTTTCTTCCACCAAGCCCCTCCCTCTTCTTCCCCTGCATCTGTGTCTCAGCATCTCTCCTGTAGCTCTCTCCTCTCTTTCCTTATAAGTGTTTTGCCCCAATAAATACTCTGTACCTTAAATACCTGCTTCTTAGAGGACTCAGACTGACATAGTTCCCAGTGCAGAACTGTTATAGCTCCATCTGCTTAACCAAGGATTGGGTAAACCAATTGTGTGTGTGTGTGTGTGTGTGTGTGTGTGTGTGTGTGTGTATACACATGTCAGAGACAAGAAAGTGCACATTTGCTTCCTGTGAAGGACAGCGTTAAAGCTAGTGCTGTTAGTCCAGGTCTGGTGCCTGCCTGTGTCTCCTTCTCAAATTTAGCACCTAGAGGCAGAATGTATTCAAGCTTCCCTGAACTCTGACAAATCTCTAGGTAGATATGTCCCTTATAGATATGTTTTTAAATTGTTTATTGGGGGGGATGAGTAGGCATAAAGACTGAGGTGTTATTCCTCTTGTAAGGGCTAATGGGACTTCCTGTAGTTACTTTCTGTGAAGCTGGTACAGTGCTGACTAAATAGCTAATGTGCCACCCACACTAAATGATTAAGTAACTCAATGAGGATGTATCTGTTGCAAATCCTTGGAAGATATTGTTTCCTTAGGTCCATATACAGAGTGCCTGGCTTCTTTTCTCCATGCACACATATTCATCATTTGTAAGTGTAGATACAGAAAAGGTCATTAAAATGGTAAAACACCCATTTGAAGAACCAGGTATTCCAGAATGTTCTTTGCTGGGCTTTCAGGAAGGAATTTTTAACAAGGCTGTAAAAGTGTTGCTTCTTCTTAAATATATGTAGCAATGAAATGAAAAATGTTTCAGCACTTATAAATGCTCCCACGGTTGGAGGTGGGTAGATCTTAATAAAGAAGCATGAAGAGAAAAATGTTTCTAGATCCTTCTGGTAAGTTCCCAGGTGAATCACTTCCAGGACCGGCACATTTAACACATACAGCCAACATCTACACTTACGTGTCTGGGGGCAGATTTATAAGGTGAACTTACACAGATTAATAATGGTAATATTTAATACTAGACATCTTCCTATCATGTTATTAAGACCTCAATGGACTGGTTTCTTTTTCATTTTCTTATCAAAACAAGGCTTGGCATTTGATTTAGTAAGGTGGCATATAATGGAGACTGTCACTATGTTTAATAATTTGATAGTATGATATTGTTGAGGAAGCAGGGCACATTTTTACACTGAAGTTCTACTACCTTTTAAAAACAATGGAAATCAGATTCCTCTGCTTCTGTGAATGAGTTATTATAAGAATTACAGTAAACTAAAGCATGAATAAAGAGGGTTTGACTTGAATAATGGAAGATAGCCCTTTTCATAGATATCCCAACTCAGCAGGGAACTAGAGGCTATTTATTCTTCAGTGTAAATGAAGAGAATGTGAGGGAAACCTTACCAAGCCTAGCATCATTCCCCACTTCAGTGACAATTCTGTGAAGGGAAATGCCTGCCTTGGGAATCACAGAGAATTTGCCAAACTTTGCAGTGTGGTGAAGCATTTCTAAGCTACCTCATCTTCATGACCTTCTTTGCTACCAGATACCCAACTGAGTTTTTCCCCAGGCTCTTATATGAGGCAAGAGAGTTTGACCTACTTATTCATGTTCAAAACCAAAAACTCACTGACATCAGCAAACACTATTAGCTGTTCTAAGATACATGTGCTAAATCATTTAATTCTCACACCAGCTCTACAGATCTGCTTTTTTCCCTACCTCACCATTGAGACTAAGATATGGAAAAGCTAAAAAACAAAAATAAAAAATTGCCCAAAGCCTCGCAACTAAGAAGTGACTGAACTAGAATTAAATAATATGTTTGCATCTTGTGAAGGGACAAGATGATAAGGAAATATTCAAAAGAAAGTCCCAATGCATTATTATGTAGTGTATTAAGAATAATGATATTTTAGTTAAAGAGTGATTTGAAGGCTTAGAAATGGCTCATCAGGACCCTCAGGTTACTTCAAACAAACAACTGTTTTTCTAATGCAAAAGGATGTGGATAGAAGTCCCCTGTACCTGGTGCATGCCTATATCTAACAAGCCAAATCTGGAAGGCACAGTCCATGGCTGTAGGCAAAGCAAAGGGCTGGTCAGAAGCCCCAGGTACACAAAAGACAGCCAGTGGTCACACACCTTGTCAGAGAGCCAATGACTCGGGCCCTTTTTCTGCTGGGATACGTCCATTTGTTCACTTCTTAGAGAATGACAAGATCAAAAAACCTTCTGAGTTTACCTGGGGGGTCTAACCTGGCTAGGACAGAGGTAAGCTGTTCTGGTTATTGATGGTGTGCTACAAATCACACGTTATTACTCAAATTCTGTTAGCATTGGGCTTGGCAACAAATCTGAACTCTATGAATGTAAGCAATTCTCAGTTTGAAAATACAGATTACAGTAATGAATGTGGATGTGGAAATTATTCTGAATTTACATTCAAGTTCCTCATTCAAACTATGCCACAGAAGGTAACTAGGGCCGCAAGCCAACCCACAAAAATCCTATTTAATGCACCTTGTAGCTAAGACAAACTACTCAATGACTCCCCTTGTGATGTTTCTCTGGGAAATTTACTCTGAGGCCCAAAACAGAGTTTGAACTGTGATGTCACTTCGTCCCTCAAACCCCACAAGCTCTAAGAGCCCCTATCTGTTTGTATTGGGTAAGGAACGGCCTTAGCTCTCTGCTCAACCAAATGAACCCCAAGAACAAGGAGTGCCACAATGTATAGACCATCCCTAGGGGCTCAGGATCTCTGTGGATATCTCACTCTCTCTACCCTATGAGAAATATCAATTAGCCGTTTGAATACATGAGTGGTCAGAAAATATATTGTCACAATCCAAGTGATATAGGTCCTTAGTAGTTTTTTACAGTATGTCCAAACCAGCAGGCTAGGGATAAGAAAAGAGTGATAGAAAGGGTCTTCCCTAAGCCTCCTAAGCAAGATATTCATGTACAGGGAAGAACCTAATGCTGCCTGCCCAACAGAGAGAAAAGAAGAAGTGAGTCCCACACCACTGTTATATCAGCCAATTTCACAAGAAAAGAGGACTAAGCTACCTTCTAACTATCTGTCATAGTGACAGATACAGCTTAAGAGGAAGGTGAGGAAGAATAACACAATGGTAAATAAATGGAGGTGAGCACAGAGTCCCACGGCCATCCCTTCAAACTCCCCAGGCCTCTTACAACCTGCAGAGCAAGAGGCCTGGAGTCTTTCACAAAAATTGGATAATCAGGGCAATTTCTGAAGAACTGGTTATTTATCACATACCTACCAGACTATACCATGTCCATTATTCCATTTATTCCTTCCTGACAGCAATCCTCTGAGGGATGGAGGAGATCCTGCTTCGCTAACACAAATTCATCTACTTGACCCAAGTCCCAGACAGAAGAATCAGTAGCTGAAATTCCAAAATTTGGTGATACTATTCAAATACTACACTTCCACCTCTCAAAAAAAAAAATCTCTTGATCTGAGGCTAAAGCCAAGGAGCTAGGATCATGATGAGGAAAGTGCACAGATGAAAAAGTTAGAATCAGGACCAAGGTCGGTTAAGGAAAGTTTAAGATAGTGGGCAAAATATAGAAGCCATAAAAATCCTTACCTTTTAAAATGGGCTGATTTTTGTGTTAATAAAATGTTCTAAAACCTTAATCCCAGCTCCCTCAGAATCAGCAGAAAAGTCACACACAAGTCAATACACCTGAGGAGGGCACTTGTTTCTGCTTGATACATTTCTTCATTTCCATCTCTATTTTAGCAAGGGATTTCAATTGGACAGGGAGTAAAGAATAGGGAAATACAGGGAGGGAGACCAGATAGCCTCTTTCAGAAAGCCTTCTTTTTAAAGGAAGATCAGGTGACTGTTTGAATCTGAAAGTAATTGCGCTTACTTACTGAGCTCTAATTGAGGTTAATCTCCCATCAGAAGCCGCACCACACACAGCTTGCTCAGTTTACTCATAGACCCTGAGTAAAAACTTACCAAACAAGTGGCTAGTGCTAACCCCAAAGTACCCGTGCACAAATTCAGCTGATACCTGCAAGTCAAGCAACTTTGGCAGACACTTAACACTGGCTGAAGTGGAAGGGAAGCACAGAATTTCCCTGCTAACTGAGAAACCTAGCCTCCGGGAAGACTGTGGAGGGAGCAGGCCTTGCTTATCTCTGTTAGCTCTCTTCCTCACCTCCTCTGCTTGAGGCATACTCTCTTTCCTTTTGGGAGGCTGTCCAGCTCCTGGGCGAAAGGCTCCCATTGGAATATTGATATTTGCCTAAAAGAGAAAACAGGGTAAATTTAGCTTAAGAATAGTAAGAAATTGCAGTGACATTCTAAGACAGCAATCATCATGAGGAAAATGCTTCTGAAAACTACATCTTCAAAGCTTTTTATCTAAGAAAAATTGCTGTAACAACAGCATAAAAAATATGCAAAAGAAAATTTCACTTCCATTTATTACACATTCCTGGTATTCATCCTTAGGTCTGTGCAGTGATTTTATAATTCTTTATTGGATGGAAGAATTTTTGAAGACAGATCGTTCTGGCCGTTGCCCTCCTGTGGTGCATATTATTTTCCCCTTTCAGTGAAGAGGAAGGAACACATAATGATAGGAAAGGAGGAAAGAGCATCCACAGATGCTATACCACATTTAGTTCTCCATCAGTTTCTTTCATATGTACAATGATGAGGGTGCTTCCACACTTTGCAAATTGTCACCCCCTTCCTGTAGCATCCTGGCACTGTTCTAGCATCACCTCAGCTTTCTGAGTCGACATTCTTCTATCTTCTCCCCAACACTGTCATGTGTGGGACAGTAAGGAAAAAGGACAGTGCTATAAAATCAATTTCCTTTTTTAATAAAAATGCAATTATTGTCCTCTATTAAGATGAAATACTAATCTCCTTCAGTGGCAAGCATAAAATACTTTCTTGTAAACATGAAATACTTCAAACACTAAAATATGTAAGAATATGTTGACACAGTAATTTGAACTTGAGAAGATAATATGCAAATTTAAATTTCACCCATATTTCTAAAGACATCAAGAGGTGAAAATGTTTAATACTTAACCAACAATGTCTTCAAACAGTAGTATTGCTCAAATAAAACATGCGTTAAACAGTTTTAAAAATGAGAATGCATTTTTCCACTGAAGATAAAATGTTGCCTTATAAGTAATTGGATATATGGGCTTTAAAAAGGTGAAATTTCATTTTGATATGAGTGAAAATGATGCCTAAGCAAAAGGGGCAAAATGTTTTGTCAACTTGTGACACAGAGTGGATGATTTGGGTACCACACCAAATGAAATTAAGAAGTCCATTTGGAGCCACCTGGTTTATGCTCTGTTGCCAGGGTAATGATTAAGCCATAACATATGAAATAGCCAGTGGCATTGTTCATACAACATGGCAGGTCTACGTTTTGCCTCAAAGGAGAGCAGGCTTGAAAACCCTCCTTTGTGCTAAAATAATGCTGATCCCACAAAAAGGAAACAAGTTTCAGAGTATTGGCAACAAATAGCATCAAAGATACATCATTTTGATTCCAAGAAGTATTTTTCATCAGCATGTATCATAACAGAGACACATAAGATGGAGGGAAAGATAGATCTTATGTTCTGAAAAATATGGAGTAAAATTTCATAAATCTCATGAGATCATGATCTTACTATGTTGCCCAGGCTAGCCTCAAGCTCAAGTGGTCCTTCTGCTTCAGTTTCCCCAATAACTGGAATTTCAAAAAGGCATCATCTCTCCAGATCACCTCTTATGATTTTACTTTATTTCTTAGGAGGACATAAAAAATGCTATTCACTAGGGATGTGTCTTGGTGCCCACTTAGATCACATGAAACTCTCAGATACAGCACCACAAAGAGTCAAGACTGAATAAATTATTAGTATTTCACATTTGACAATATTTAGACTGAATGACATACATAGAGGCTTGAAATAAGACCAAAACAATGTGAACAGATTCAGAGATGATATTGGACCAATAGACTACAGACTATTTCCTCTACTACAATTTGGATGAAAGAAGAAAAGGGTCAATTCAATGACTATTTGAGAGAAGAGTAATTAATTAAAAGTTCATGCCGGGCAGTGATGGCACACGCCTTTAATCCCAGCCCTGGGAGGCAGAGGCAGGCGGATCTCTGTGAGTTTGAGGCCAGCCTGGGCTACAGAGTGAGTTCCAGGAAAGGCGCAAAGCTACACAGAGAAACCCTGTCTCAAAAAAACAAAAACAAAAAAAAATTCAGTTAGAGCCTCATGCAGTGCCACACACCGGAAATCCCAGTGAAATCCCAGTACTTGATGGCTGAGGCAAAGGATTGTGAGTTTGGGGCTATTCTGGGCTACAAAGAAAGACCCTGACCTCACCTCTCCTGAAGAAGAAGTTTATTTAGAGCACCTCATTCAACCCATTTATTATGAATCTATGGGAAATGCCTTCCTAGTAGTGAATTTGGGGTAAAATACTGTTTCTGAAAGACTTGGGTTTTAAGCCATTTAATCAAGATTATGCTTTATAATCAAATGTAGTTTTCAGTAAGGAAACATGCAAAGGTGATCCTTAACAATATTGTAGTTCGTGTTTTGGGGCAACAACATTTTCTTATTTGAGATTAATCTTAGAACCTCTTGTAGTCTCTCCATAGGTGGTTTATAAGATTGAAGGAGAGCTGGTATATTCTTTCTAAGTGAAAAAAATGACAGCTGTTCTCTGCCTCATTATCCCAATTTATAGTAGAAATAATGGGCTACTTCATGATTTTTAAACCTCTTAACCATGGAACCCTTCCTTCAAGTAAAGCAATGTAAGGACTTGTGAAATGCAAAATAGTATTCATCAAAGAAACTTCTCTTTGCTACAGATAGGGAATATTACAGAAAACCACAACTAGTCAAAATGCAGAGAACAGCTGACCATAGGATGTCCAGCTCTTATGGATACATCTACTGTACAACTCCTGCACATAAGGCTCAGACCATATCGCAGAAGAGAGTGAAGAAAGGACCAGGGATTCTGCTGTTAGGTTGTGTCTCCTAGAAATGACAGGGAAGCTTCATCCAGGATACCTCAGCAATATGGCTGCCTAAAGAAGACCTAAACAAGGACAATACCAATAGACATGCTAACATTGAAAGGGGAAAGCTCGTGGAGTTCCATCCCTAGACAAAGAACCACAGGCAACTAAGGAATGTTGAGACCGGAAAAAATAGTCTTCCCTAAGAATGATCCCCCTAATTGGTTATGTGATAGCAACTGGTCAGCCCTGAAATTATATACATACAAGTAACACTAAACTAGACTCAAAAAACTATATTTATACAATTAAAGGAACGGGGCCATGGATTTGAGAGGGAGCAAGGGTTGGAGAGGGGAAAGGAAAGGAGAGAAATTATGTAATTATATTTTAAGTTCAAAAAATTAAAACACATATTACCTAACAAAAAGAAAAATGCAAAATAGGTAGAAAAGGAGGGTTCATAACCTTCTCTTCACAACATTCAGTCTTGTGAAGTTAAGATCATCATCTTTGGAGCTGGAGAGATGGCTCAGCCGTTAAAGGCTAGGCTCACAACCAAAAATATAAGATCAATCATCTTTGTTTGACTGGTAAACAGATTAAACCTCAAAGAGTTTAAAGTTTATGATCAAGGTCACATAAACAGTACAACAAACAAAGGCTACATTTCCAAATCAAATTTTTATAGTTAACCTTCTGTTCTACCAATCCAGTCTCCCAAGAGTTCTTTTCTTTGGGCTAAAATTGGTTCTAACCAGCTCTAAAATCGCAGACTTATACTTTGAGAGTAACCTTTGAAAAGAACACAAAATGCATACTTTTGGAATAGATGCCAAACAAAAACTACATTGAAAAATGAGCCATTAACTCAATGACATGACACTTTTTCTTCTTGAAGGCATCACTCAAGAAATCAGGAGCCTAAATGGGTTTTTAGAACAGCAAATATTGATGGGAACAAAAGCAGCCTGAAACCATGTTGAGCATCCAAGCATTACAGTGCATCAGTAAGGGAGTATAAGAGCAGTGCTTTGTCAAATGTGTTATACACTACACTAGTAATAAGATAATTAGCAAGGCTTCATTATTATAATTGTAGGGCAGTGATATTTGAGTGACAAATTATAGGCTACATTATAGCCATAAGAAAAAATCCTTATAACTTGAATTTGATGGGAAAATGTAGACCTGTAGATCAGTTTTTCTTCCCAGAAAATTGAGTCTTATTTTTGCCTTTTCACTGCCTTGCTCTAAGTCTGAATATAAATAAAAAACCTTTTCAATCACTCAGTACTTCCATCTGTAGGCAGAAGTATCTGTCCCACCAGCAACTACCAAATATCCAGCAGCTGCTTCCTAAATAATTAACTCAGAGGCTTAGTATTATTATTAATTATAAATGCTCGGCCAGTAGCTCAGGCTTATTACCAACTAGCTCTTACACTTAAATTAGCCCATTATTCTTTCTCAACCCATTCCTATTACTCTGTTTTGCCATGTGGCTTCATGGCGTTATCTGTTCTCTCACATCTTGTTTCTCCTAGCAACAGCTTGCTTAGTCTCCCTGACCCCGCCTTTCTTCTCTCTCTGTCTATCTTGGATTTCCTGCCTGGCTCCATTCTGCCCTGCCATAGGCCAATGTAGCTTTATTTATAAGCCAGTGTGAGCAACATATATTCACAGTGTACAGAAAGACATCCCACAGCATCTATTTGTAGTCTGAGTGTGGTACTTGCTATTCAAATTGTGTATAATGCAAGCTATACTTTTTAACTTTATTTTTTTCCAACATAGTATTTTTACTGATTCTTTGGGGATTTCACATCATACATCCCTATCACATTTGCTTCGCAGTCTTTCCCTATTCACTCCCCCACCCTTGTGACCTTCCCCCAGCCAAAAAAAAAAGTCAATTTGTATTAGCTAGACACTCACTGGAGCATGCCCCTTAAATAGAACTGAATCCTTCCCCTCTTGCACACCTGCTGGAAGTCATCTATTGTGGAGGGAAGCACTTAGCATTCTATCACAGTTTTTAAGAGTTCTCTTCTACAGCTTCTTGTTTAGGCATTACTATATCTTTTTTTGTTGGGGGAGGTTGGGGTAGAAGGAGGGGTTGTCACAGAAGTCTTCCATGTCCCTCTTTCTCAACTGTACATCTGCAGTCATCAGTATCACTGCCAAAGCAGATAATTTGATGTTTATGGTTCGCAGGAGCATGGATCATGGCCTCC